TTATATGTTAATAAAAAATAAAAAAAATTTTAAAAAGATTGTATTTACTCATGTTCTTAAAGTCCTCATGGTTATTTTAGAGGCTGCTTGGTGATCCATCAAGTGAATGACCTATTATGAATCATGCCTGCATTTGGGGATTTTAAGGTATTCCAATTTTAGCTGCTGTAAGTGATGGCAGTGTCTTTTAAAATGGAGAATTCATTGGTGCCCTTCTGTTGTTTATAAACCTGTATATAGCAAGGTGCTCAGGAAATGCTGGCTGCTGGTTTTTAGTCTCCCAAAGATCTCAGTACTGCCAAAACCACTCTCCTCTCAATGCTGAGAGGTGATTTGTGTCCTCCCTGTTCCCCTGTCTTCATGGACAAAGAGCAATTGGGATATTTGTGGCCATAGTCTCTAGGGGTCCTACCATCTCCTAGGTCTATCGTTCACTGGAGCACAACCCATCATGATGAGGTCAGAAAGTAATACAAAATCTGTGAGCGACGGCTCTCAGTGCCAAAATGAGGCAGACTTCAGGCAGAAGAACTGTAGCTAAACTCCTCCCTCCGTCCCGCCACCCCATCTGGAAGGGTCAGGAGAGAACTTAAAAAGAATCAGCTCCCTTGGGGACAAGATCAGCTGTGCACAGGGAAGTTGTTCCCCAAAAGCCACCCACAAGCTGCAATGCTTTCAGACTATATGTGTTAACAAGGAGCTAGCAATGAGATCAATGAAAAATACTCTAAATTTTCCAGGTATTGTGCCTAGAGCTCAAAGTGTAGGAGCCAACTGAAAGCCAGTCAACAACTGTCTCCAAACAAAGAAGGTACAAAATATCCCACCCAGCTGTCAAGACACTGGGTGACTGTGGAAGGAACCAAAGAACCTCAAAAAGCAAACCAATTCCCCATAAAAGGACAAAGAGCATGAACCTTTTAGTGAAGGGCCACCAATTCCAAATTCCCATTCCACCCTCCAGCGGTAATGAGACCATCCCAGCAATATCGTTCCCAACTGAGATCATATATATTCTTGATAAGGTCCCTGAGTCATCAAGAAATTGTCAAATTGTGTGCCATATTTTCTAGTGAGAAAGCAAGGAAGTATGAAAAAGATCTTTCCAACGTTTACAAGTTTCTTCCAGCAATGTGCAAAAGGAGAGGGTGCCAGGAACTTGGAAACATCCATATTTGTTCTCCAAAAAGTGACTGAATAGAAAGAGGGGGTTTCATTGGTTATATAGGTTGATGAAAGTGGTCCCTTTTGCTCTTGTTGACTCAGCAATCTTCTGAAAATTGACATATCAAATTACTCAGGTATATGTCCCATTATAAATTATTATATTGGCATCCTGAATTATTAATCATTTTCCATTGAGTGTGGTCAAAATCACTTCCCCAAAACCGTATCACTCTACCACTTTGGTACCACTAGGACCTTGACAAGTTAACCAAAACATGTTCCTAGAACCCATCTCTCTTCTGAGAATAGATTCTTATTTCTAACAGCATATTAAACAAGTTTCTCTAAGTGTTTTGTCTTTCATCTGTTTGAAACTAAGTCAGTTTCTGCTATTACATCCATACTTCCACAAACATCTCCTCCATCTCCATGCCTGGTATCTGCCAATGACATCACCATCCTTCCTGAGACTCAACGTAGAAACTCAATTCCTCCTACCCTCTCGCACCCTGAATTCAGTCTCTGTTCTCTAAATGTCTTCCCACCCCTATTCTTTTTCCCTCTTGCTTATCCTCTATATGGTGGCCAGAAGAATTATCATTTATAAATATATTCATTCATCCATTCCACAAATATTTACTGAGGGATTATTCAAGCACTACTCCAAGCATGACATTCTAATGAGAGAAAAACAACTGAGGAGGTTCCGATGGTGTCACACTTCTGTTCAAAAAATATTCACTACCTATTTCCAAGAATGCCCCTTCCTTAAAATTTGGTCCCAGAAAAGCCTCCAATCCAGGTTCCTATCACTATGATTCTCCCCTGCACACAAACATATAGACACATGTGCACTCAACTCCTCCCTATTCCCCCACGTTGGCCAAGTCCTAGACATGTATCACTGCCTTTGTCCTGAGACTTCTTCTCACTCCCCACTTTGGGGAGCTGCATGTCCCCCAAAAACCAGAGCATAACTCAACCACTAAGAGAAATCTTTTCTAACCCTCCCAGGGAGAACATCTGTCCTTCCCCTGTGTTCTTGGCAGAAGGCAAACATGACCCTGTTATAAATAGCATTTACAACATTACATGAAGAAAATTGTCAGGGATCAAAAGGTGTTGGATTCATTTGGAGCCTTAAGTAAACTGATAAAACTGTGCTCAAAATCTGAAAAGCTGAGGATAAGAAGCTGAAATGTGGAGATACCTCCACCCCTATACATCCCTGGGACTTTTCTGCAACAAATGCTTTGTTGGATCATCACCAAAGGACATGTCCTCTCTTCTCTCGAGGGAGGGCTGTTTTTCCCCTATGGACCCACAAGTTTCTGGACCTGGAGGATGGTATTCATCTTCCTTACTCCCCACTGCCATTCTCAAACCATTTTCCTCCCTTCTCCTTTGAAGCTCATCCTATCAGACCATACCACCCCATACCACCTGGTTGTTGCCAGCCTCTGTCCTTCAGCTGCTGGCAACTTCAGTTTCTGGCACACTGGCTTCTTTGTACCATCATCACCCCATTATCAATAGTGGCCTCTTCATCATCTCACGAATGATGCATGCACACTGCCTTCCCTCCAACTACGATGGATAAAGTGTCCACATTCTTATCAAAAAACATCTCTCCACTGCACTCCAGACTCCTCCCCCTCTTATCTTCCAAACACAATGGTTATGGGTAATAGTTGACCACTCTCTTGTGTCCTTGTGTCCTTGAAACATCTTCCTACTTGGCTTCCGTGACATCATACAAACCTGATTTCCTCCCATTTCACTTGTCACCCTCATTTTCAGATTCCACTGATGTTTTCTGGGCTCATTTCTCTTTTTGTATCTCCACTTGTCCCCAGGATGACATCAATGAGTTCTGTGGCCTCAAAGCTCATCGATTTGCCAAATCTTACCACTAACCTGACCCCTTCCCCAAAGACCAAACATATATATCTAACTGCCAACTCTACATCGTCATTTGTATGTCTAATAGGACCTCAAACTCGTCGTGGTTCAAGCACAACTCTCCACCTTATTCCCTAAAATGTCCCCCTCTAGTCTTTTCCATCGTTTGCCAAATCATTCAATTCAAAAATGTCAAGGTTGTCTTTGATTCCTCTTGCTTCTTCACTTAGTACATCCAATTCATTATCTTCTCCCCGTTCACTCTGCCATTATGTAACTTCTTTACATCTCCACCCTAGTCCAAGACATCAACATCTATTCACTGGACCACTGGACACATGCTCACTGGTCTCCCTGCTTCCACTCTTATGCCCTTAAAATTCTCTCTTCAAAGAAGACCCAGAGTGATCATTTTTAAATATAAGTCAGATTAAATCATTCCACTTCCAATACCCCAGTGGCTCCCCCTGCCATCTGAGATATAATGCAAATACCTTACCTTGGTCTACAAAGCTCTCCTTGATCTAGCCCCCACCTACCCTTCTGGACTTAGCCAGTTTCACTCCCCTACCACTCCCTGCAGAGCCACACTGGCCCTTCCTCCTCTTCTCAAGCCCACCAAGCCTGTTCCCATGTTAGTGTCCTTCTCCAGCCTCTGCCTGGGATACACTTTTTTCTGAGTTCCTCGTGGGTCTTTCCTTCTTACGAGTCAGGATCCAGCCTAAGTGTAAATTCTTCAAGGCCTTCTGTGACAACCTAGAGTAGCCACCAATCACTACCAAATCTCCTATTTTAATTCTGTGAATGACACCATCCCTAACTGATATATATCCTATGATTTATTCATCTGTTTACTTTCTCTTAACCAGCGAGCAGATTGATTCCATAAGAGCAGGGGTCTCATTCATCACATTTCTCTGTCCCCAGGCACTTGGATCAAAATCGTTAGATAAATTAATGTTCCTGCAATTGCCACAAAAATTGCCCCTGGAATTTCTAAGAATTTTTGGAAACCCAAACATCAGGCAGCTACCCACCCATGCAGGGGGGCACAAAGGGAACCACGGACTAAATAACCTGACAAGAACTACTACCAAAGAAGGTTGATTGGCAAAGGTGGGACATCACCCTGATAAATATGACAAACAGATAATGGTTCATGGGAAGAGCTGGGTTCAAGTCCTAGCACCATCATTTACTGCTTCCAAGTGGGCAATCATGTCCCCTCTCTCTGACCCTTAGGGTTTCCCCATCTATAAAATGGGAATGATACACTTCCCTCACAGGATTTTGATAAAGATTAAATGAGAAACTGTATGGGAAGCGCCCAGAAGGAGCAACGCTTGGAGCCACAACCATCCAGGATTCCGGTCTCCTGAAGAAGCTAAGTGAAACCTTACTAATATAAAAAGTTCACAGGACCTAAATGTATCCAATTCCAACTCAAGCCCTACTCTGCTTTCCCTCTCAATGTGCCTGTGCATTCCTATCCAGTCCAGCACGTGTTCCGTCCCCTCTGCTCCCACCAGACATGGTCAGGTCTCACCTGTACCCGATGCCATACCTGGGGTATCTTCCATCTGTGATGCCGGATGTAACTGCCTTTTCACGGACATGTTTTCTTTCCTCAGAATGATTATAAATTAGATGCATGCTCCTCCCAATACCTCCCCCACCCCACTGGTCTCCCTTCCAGGGGCTGGTCCAGCGACATTTCCCTTGGGAGGCTGGTCAGCCCTGCACCCTCTTGTATCTCAACTACCAGGGCCATTTGTTTCACTGTCTGTTACTTAGCTGGACCTTTCTCCCTTCCTACATTGTGTTTCTTAAAGCACAGAAGTAAGATCTTTAATTTCCAGTCAACTGCCAGACCACACGTCGCCTGCTTTGAAGACTAACTATGGTCAAGTTCTAAGGCCAGACTTGCCTACCTTTTTCTAATCTCTTCTTGTCCTTCCTTCTCCCACCTGGAAGTTCTTGCAAGTCTCTGGTGCAATTCATTTAACTAGGTTTCTGAGAAAAATAGAATGAGAAAGGTAAACTTGTAAAACATAATATATTATAACTAATATGCACAGTTTTGGGGGAAGTGGGCAGTTGAATGTATAGAAAACCGTTACCTACAGTTGAAAGAGAAAATAGCAACTGCCAATCCCCCAGAGGTCAAGGAGGGAGGGGTCTCCTGAAATTGGGGAGAAATATTTAGTTACTAGTCTCAAATGAATCTTTCTAGGCACAAATATACACAAGTAGTATACAATGACACATCATTGCTGTCCACATCGAAAATATGTGTGGGTAACATGCCAGGAAATTTTGAAGTTCTGACAAAAGGAGTTTCTGTTGAGTCAGAAACTCAATTAAACAATGGGGGCTGTAATGTGTCTCCATGGCATGGAGGAAGGATGCGTCGAATGCTTTTAAGATCTGGGAACAGGCTCCTCATGGAGTGTGTTGTGTGGACATCCTCTGCCCAATGAAGGCCTGGCCTTTGAGGTCCACCCACGTGCAGCATCACAGGACATGCTCTCTCGTTGTTGTTCTTGTTGTGTTTCTGTGATATCATTGTGTACATCAACATCTCAAGAGGGCAACTGATACGAGAATTAGCCACAGTTCCTAAAAAGGCAAAGCTCTATATTAAACAATTGTTCCCAGCGAAGTATGACATAGAATGAAGAACATGAGCTTAGGGCAGTCCACACAGCTGCTTAGCTGTGTGACCAGAAATAAGATACTTCAACCTCCTGATCTCTGCGTGCTCATCTCTACAAGAGGGGCAGTAACAAGAACTACGCTTGGATGGCTATGAGGCTTTTGTCATAAGATAATTCAGATAAATCCCTGGGCACAGGACCTAGTCCCATTGATAAGATCCCACTGGTTGGGTTGGGTTGTGGTCATCATCATGATGGCAGGACTGAGATATTTTCTGTAATGCCAAAGCAATGTGGTTCAATTTTCAGGCTGGAGAAATTAACCAAATGTGTCTCCTTCAAAATGGACAACCAAGCCGAAGATCAGGGAAGAGACTGGGGCAGTGAGAGGTCAGAGGATGGGCTCAGGGCACCCACCAATACAACTGTTGCCATCCTGCTGTCCCCGCATGTCACCCATCCCATCCCAACTTTCAGGTCCCAACAGCCCTTCTTACACCTTCTGCTCCCCAAAATGACACCCTCTAGAGATCATCTCTGAGCCCAGGCAGGTCTGAGACATCTGTGTTCACATGCACTCATACACACATAACCCCGAGTAGAACACCTGTAGAGTACACACACACAAACACACACGTACACACAGGCCTACACAAACACTGTGTTAATTCTCCAATATCACCAGCCATGTCTACCATGCAAAGTTCAGCTTTGACATCCCCTGTCCCAGATGGGTTCTATCTCTCTTCTCAGGTCACTGCAGCCCTGGTCTAGAATGATTTAATGAGCAAACTGGGCCAAGTTGTCTCGCCAGATTCCCAGTAGGAATAATCTGGAGACTCAGGTATGCAAACAACTTTAAAAGGGACACAGGGTGGAGCACAGAATTGGAGTCGGGAGAACTGGTTTGAAAAATCCAGCTTCATTTCTGTATGTCCAGTCTTGAGCAAGTTACTTAATCTTTCTGAACCTCGGTTTTCCTGCATCCAGGATGAGAAACGTCCTGTCCCGTTCATGTTTAGGGTGATGCAATTAATTCAGGCAAAAGCATTTCATGACCCAAAAAGATCTTTCTGAGTCTGCTTTCCTGTTGAAGACAATGAACGCTGAACTAATGGTCTAAATTTCATTCTCTGGTTTATGACCAGGGTTCATTTTGGTAACAAGAATACCGAGTAACACTGGCATCCAAGGTGAGCACTAGATGTACTCCAGAGAAAGCTGCTGGATTGTGGAGCTCTATTCATAAGCGACCAAGACCACCGAAAGAGGGCTGTCTTGGACTTGTCTTCTTTCCTTGGAGAGAAGGTGGGATCAAATGGAAGAGTGGAGTTTAAGTGTATCTGGTTTGGGAGTTTAGAATCATTTGCCCCTGAGAAGTCTTCAATAAGGCTATTATGAGAGGGTACCGACCTCTCAGGAGCAGTAAGAATGAACACAAAGCTCCTTGCCCCTCTGACTTATCAGAACTAGTGGGGTGACAAGGCCCACAGGCTGAACAGACTCAGCAGCAACTGGACCGAAAGGCCTGTGGTAGGCAGCCTCCAAGATGGCCCCCAATGAGCCCCTCCTGGTATTCACATCCTAATGAAATCTCCTCTCCTTGAGTATGGGCTACATCTAGAGACTCCCCTCCAACAAATAGAATATGGAAAAATGGCGGAATGTCACTTCAGAGGTTAACTTACAAAAAACTGTGGCTTCTCTCTCGAACATGCTCTCTCTTGTTCATTCTGAGAGAAGCCAGCTGCCATATTATGAGCTGCCCTATGGAGAAGCCTCGTGGCCAACAGCCAATAACCATGTGAGTGAGATTGGAAGCAGATCCTCCCCCAGTTAAGCTTTCAGATGGGACCACAGCCCCACCAAAGCCATGACTGCACCCTCATGGAGAGACCGTGACACAGTTACATTACACTAGGATTCTTGACCAGCAGAAATTGCGAGATAATAGATGTTTGTTACAACTGAGCCTTGGGGTAATTTGGGGTAATTTGTTGCACAGCAAGAGATACAAGGCCCCTACCAGACGGAGCCCCTGAAACTAAGAGGGAAGAGAGCTTCCTACCCTGCCAGCAGTGGGAGTGATATGACTACATCATCCCACTCGCTTCTCTAGGGAACTAGGCAATTTCTACTGGAAGGAGGTAATTTACCTAAGAAAGAATATATAGTTATAAAGTACCACAGAAATAAAGCCATCCTGTAAAAGCCAATTTTGACCAGGCCATTTATGACACAGCAGACATACTGATGTGGCCAGAGGGTCAGGGATAGAGTAAGGCATGGAGCAAGGTGTGAAGGGGGGCTCAGAGATGGTACTGGGGCACTTGCCTTGCATAGTACTTGAGAGATAGAGGAAGTTGAAATTGTGGAGCGTTCTTTTTAAGACCAGGTAAAAGGGTCTTTGGCATAAAAATGGCTTTGTGAGAGCAGCCAGATCAAAATGTCAGGTTCTATCATGGAACGATTTTATCCAACCCCAACACATACTCTTTGGGCTTCTCCTCTGTCCTAAAGACAGGAGGATTGCTACCAGTCTTTCTTTCTTGCCTGTGCATGCACAGGCACACACATGTACACACACGTGTATGCACACGCACACACGCACAAAATATCCAGGACCCATATTTCCTGGGTCCAAAAGCACAAGGTCTAAAATGATGTGAATTTCAAGGTCACCGTCTGCCTCACGCCCTACTTGGATTTGAGCTGTTCCGGTTCAACAGGCTGAAAGGCACCTGCCCAGAGGCTTAAGCTTCACCAAGAACTCTACAGAGATCAAGTCCTTGTGGGATCCCAGGAGGGTTCCCCCTGCATTGCTCATCAGCTCAGAACACAAGAATGAAAACATTGTTTATTGTGGCTGGTGGAAATGAAGAACACCTTTATCCTGAAATGGATCCAGTTAGTTTCCTGAAGTGCTCTATCTTTAAAACTATTGACTTATCAACACTTAATGAAGAATGTCTCCCATGGCCCCATGCGGTCCTGTGGTCATCTTCCTAAGCAATAAGTAATACCAGTAGTTACAAGTTGCCACAATCCCCAACCCCTGCGGTTCTGAGAGATCCATTCAGCTCTGCTGGGGACAGTTCCTTCCAGTCCAACTTTCTAGCCCTCATGTCTCTAGGCGTCTCTCTGCCTCAGTTTCCTTGTGTAAAATTAAGGATTTGGGTCTCCCGTCTCCCGTCCAGCTATGTCCTCCTGCGTATCTCTGAAACCTCATACCACAGGCCCCAGAACCTGGAATGCACTCTGATTTCCCAATATCCCACCAAATGAATTCCTTATGCGCACAACTTCTGGGTTTATACTAACAGAGAAAACACTGCAAGGCCTGACCTTCAAAACTCAGCTTGTTCTCACTCCCTGCTGTGTTTTGAGAAAGAAAAGCTAACTTTTGCCCTCTAGGGTGGGAAATGTGAAAGGCACAAGCCCGGGGCTCTGAGTTGGGACCACAACAAACTCCTCCAGGCGCAAAGCCCACAGACCTGGCGCTGACAGTCTTTCCGTCCACCGAGTGGAAATTCTAGATGCAGAAGGTGCCCAGACGGACCCTGCTTTTGCTCCCCTGCCAACCGCCGTAAACCTGTTTCTGTCCCGTTGGAGTTGCAACATGGAGCCAGAAATCTGGAAGAATTTAACACCCAGTCGGTTCAGACACAGGAAAACATTGTTCAAAGCAAACACTGGAATCCCTCCCTCATCATCCAGGAATGTAGAGACTGGGTTGAGATCAGCAGCTTCTCAGAAAAGCCATCGCTATGCTGCTCTGTTTGGGGCTACGGCCCAGGAGGGCCAGGAGGGGCTCCGGAGCTCTGTTCTGATTGAGACGTGGTCAAGGCTGGGAGGCCAGCATGCAGGGCCTCTCCTCTCTGGGGCAAACAGGGGCAGTGCCGCCCACCACCTCCAGCTACAGAACTCACTGCTTCCCTGTCAGACCCAGCCTGCTTGCAAAGGCCCTGTCCTGTCACTGAACTTGGGAGAGGCTCAGGAGGCAAAGCGCCCTTGGAAACAAGAGGGGCTTGGGATGCTCCGGGATTTTCCATTTCCTTTGCCTGTGGCGGGCTGTGAAAGGGGCACTTTTCCTCGAGGAAGAAAGAAGGCTCTGTTGCCCAGGGTGGGTGCAGCGCCACTAACCAGAAGACGTGTGTGCTCTATGGGATGTGGTCACCAGTGTTCACCCCACTTGGACTGAGACTTAACTAATTCCATCTCCCCAAAGCCCTGTGTCAAGTCCCCACCCCATCTCCTCTGGCTCTGGAGAGTGGAGAGGAAGGACTGGCTTCACCCAGGGGCTGCATAATGGATCCAAGAAAGACGTTACACGTTAAATCACTTGTGTCACTGTGTCCCTCTGCCTCAAATTCTGTCTTAAACTCCACCCACGTAGATCCAGTTTTGAAACGAGCTGCTAAAACTTTTCTGATAATGTGTAGGACAGAAACTGCAAGTTAGGAACAGTTCAAGGAGAACAATGCAGAGAGCCCTAGATGGCAACTTTGCCCCCGGAAGGTCTGAGAAGAGACGTCATGGCAGGACTGCTGGGGAATTTAGGGGAACAGCAAGTCACATGACAGCTTGTGTCCTTGACCCTGACCACGACACTCACCCTGCTCCTCAACTCCAAGGGATCCACAGAAAGGGTATTTAATCCCCTCACTTAATACGAATTGAGCTCCTCCTACTGAACCGGGTGAACAAGAGGGACCCCATATAAGCCAGGGAGCATATAAACAAGACCAGGGGTTGGGAAGGGTGCTCCTGGCACCAGAGCAGCTGCGGTGGTGGCGGTATCACCTGGGAGCTTGTCAGCAATGCAATTTCTCTGGCCCTACCCCAGTCAACTGCATCAGAAACTGTGGCATGACATCCAGCCACCTGCGCCCTAATGAGACCTCAGCCAATGCTGATGGGCACCGAGGTATGAGAATCACTGAACTGACAGCCAACATTTTACTGGATAATAGGGAAAAGATTAATTTAAAAGGTTAATGGTCTGCTTTGGGAAAGGCTTAGACATAGTGTCTTAACATGCTCCTAGATTCAGAACAGTTGTGCCAAACTGTGGTGTCCCTGGAAATTTTTGATTCCAGTTTCAGAAACACTTTTTCACATCAGTTGGGTCCCTGGTGGGTTCCTAAAACTTTATTTTGAAGGAGAGGTGAGAGCTGCTTCTCTACTCATGAGCGATGAAGCAGGTGGGATCTTTTATGAGGCAACAACCACCCTGCTTTGTGGAAGGCTGTCTGCTCTTTTGTCTTTGGAGATCCCCCCCTCCGTTAATCCTTGTTGGCCATCAAGGAGGGGATACAACCAGACTTCCTAACTGAGTTGATTTTTAAATAAACTGGCCAACTGATGAAGTTAAATTTTGTTTGTCCATTCAACAAATTGCTTCCATGTTGCCAGACTCAATTATCTACTTGGCATTTAGTACAAGCTTGTCTGACTTGTTGGCAGCAATGGATCCCAATGGCCGCTCTCAGACTTCTTCTCTCTCCTAGTTTTGCCGCCTCACAACCCACTGTTCCAAGGATCCTTGCCAGATCCTGCTTCTCTGTTCTAGCTTTAATGCGAGAGAGCCCCATGCTCTGTCCTGGGTGCCCTTCTCTCCATCTATCTGCACACCCTCCTCGTCTAACACCATTGCTGTGCCACAACTCCCACACGTGTGTCTCCAGGCTTCCCTGAGCTCTTCTCAGAGCCTCTATGAACACTCAACTCCAGGTTCATATATCAAACACCCTGCCAGACATCAATTCTTGGATGTTTTATGGATGGGTCAGAACTACCCTGTTCAACACTGAGGTTGAACACACACACATACACACACACACACCAAGACCTGCTCCTCCCCTGGTCTTCCCCATTTTACTAAACAGCACTCCAAACAAACCTTTTGCCAAAAAAACTAGGGAGTCTTTTTCCTCTCCCCTTCATCCTTAAGATCCAATGTATCATCAAGTCATGTCAATTCAACCTGTAGAAATATCCTGAATCCATTGTTTTGTCTCCATGTTATCATGATGACTAATAATAATAATAATAATAACTCATAGGATGGTTCCATGTTTTACATATATTAACTCATTGAGCCTTCAAAACTAGGAGTTAAGTGCTACTATTATGGCCTCTTACAGAGGATAAAATGGCGGCACAGAGAGACTCAGTGACTTGCTCAAAGCCGTACCTCTTGTGGAAGATCCAGGATTTGGACGTGGGCACCAGGATCCACGTGATTAAATATTTGCAGTGTTGCCTCCATAACCACCAGTACACTCACACAGCCTCCAAACTGGACTCCCTGCTTCTATTCCTAATGCCATACTGTTTATTTTATACACACAGCATCCAGAGTGGTCTTTCTAAACATGCACCCACATTCACATCCTTCCTGGACGGTTTCCACATAACCCTGGAATGAAATCCAAACTCCTATGAAACTTGCCTCTCTCTCTCTCTCTCTCTCTCTCTCCCTTCCCACTCCAATCACATTGCCCTTCTCTCTGTCCTTGAACTCACCAAATTGCAGCCATTCTCTCCACCTGCAATGGTCCCCCCTGCACATACAGATTTGGTAAAAAGATGAGGTCAAAGATTGAATGGAGAACAGGAATGAGAACTGAACCATGGGGGGAAATAAATCAATATTTAAGGAATGGGAAGAAAGAAGAGCCCACGAGAACACTGGGAAGAGACCCAGAGAGGAGGAAGAAGAACCAAGGGAGTAGACTCAAAAAGCCAAGAGAAGGTATCTACAAGGAGACTATGGTATAATTTTTTTTTAATTGGTCTTTGTCCCTTACTCCTGGCTCAAACCTCCTAAAACCTTTGGAAATTATTGTCTCTTGTGTGCTCATGAGATGGCTCAGGGGGGAGCTTTAGATAACTTCAGGATGGTGGCTGATGGCCAGAAAGACCAAGCAGGTAATTAGATGGTTAGAACTTTCAGCTCCACCCCAACCTCCATGAACAGGAGAAGGGCTGGCCATTGAGTTCAATCACCGATGGCAATTGACTTAACCAATCGTGGCTATGAAATGAAATCTCTATGAAAATCCCTAAGTGATGGGGTTCAGGGAGCTTCCAGGATTGTGAATACATCAACTTTCTGGGAAGGTGGGGGACCTGGAAAAAGCGTGGAAGCTCTGTGCCACTCCCACCCCATCTCTTCCATGTGGCTGTTCCTGACTACATCCTATTTAATAAGGGAAACATAAGTAAAGCATTTTCTTGAGTTTCATGAATCATCCTGGCAAATTATCCAACCCGATGTAGGAAATCCAAAATGTATGGCCAGTTAGCCCGACGTACAGGTGATCTCTGGGACTTGAAACTGGCATCTGCAATGGGACCATCCATTAAAGTCGGCACTAGGAACACACCTATGAGAGCGACTCTGTAAAATGACAGGGTAAAAGCCAGAATTTGGAGAGCTATGGAATTAAATGGGAAAGAGGAAATTGAGGATAAGGAAAGTAATGACAAATCAGAAATGGAGACTCATGTAGGCTAGCACTGCCTCAGGGTGACATATTATCCTTCGTTTCACTTATTCCTTATGGTAAACCTACGAGAAAGCATCACCACTTTGTACAGAGAAACAGCCTCAGAAAAATCAAGCCATTTTCTCAAAGTCCCTACATCGAGGGCATAATGAAGTTAGAATTTAAAACCAATAGAGCGCCTGGCTGGCTGAGTTGGTAAAGCATAAGACTTTTGAACTCAGGGTCGTGGGTTCAAGCCCAGCATTGGATATAGAGCCTACTTTAAATAAATTAGTTAATTAAAAAAAAAAAAAGAATTCAAAACCAAGTCAGTTGGATTCTAAAACTAGTGTTCCCAACTAGTATGCCATGATTGCCTATCTAGAAACCCAAACAAATCTACAAATAAATGGTTAGCATTAGTGAGTTTAGCGAGGTTTTTGGATACAAAGAGAGCGTATCAAAATCATTTGCATTTCTAAACATCTGCCATAAACATAAAATAAAATGTCTAGAAAGATACTGTGTACAATTGTTTTGAAGACCTCAAAGTTAGGACTAAATCTAACAAAAGATGTGTAAGTCCTCTTTATGGAAAACTATACCTTACTGAAAAGACATGTTTAAACATCCCTATAAATCAAAGGAGGTACCGTGTTCATTGTCAAGAATGCCAATTCTCCTAAAATCGGGCCATAGATCTAATGTGATCTCAAAGAGAATCCCAACAGGAGTGTTTATAGAAACTGACAAGCTGATTTCTAAAGTTTATTTAGATATAAAAGGAGCTAAGAATAGAGATGGTAATCTTGAAGACTAATAAACTTGAGGAACGTATTATGCTGGATTTCAAAAGCCCAAATAATTAAGACACTGTAGAAGGGCATTGTCTACAAGGTGCAACGTGGATCAATAGACAATTGCTTGGAATAGAAAGCTCAGACAAGGGGCACTGGGTGGCTCAGTGGGTTAAAGCCTCTCCCTTTGGCTCAGGTCATGATCCCAGGATCCTGGGATTGAGCCCCAAATCAGCTCTCTGCTCAGCAGGGAGACTGCTTCCCGCCCCTGCCCCCTGCCTGCCTCTCTGCCTACTTGTGATCTCTGTCTGTCAAATAAATAAATAAAATCTTAAAAAAAAAAAAAAAAAGAAAGAAAGAAAGCTCAGATAAGACCTACCCAATGGCTCTCTGCAGCAGCCAGTGAAGGACGGTATTTTCATTAAATGGTGCTAGATCACTTGATGTCCATCTGAAAAAATAATTGCCTTCTCGTAATACCCAAAAACTCAAGTCCAGGTGGGTTGTACTTGTTAGAACTAGAACAGTGAAGCTTCTAGAAGATAACAGAGGAAAATATCTTCATGCCCTCAAGGTAGAAAAAGAGTTCTTAGAGTTAAGAATTTCTGTTCAACTGGAAGATGCCATGAAGAGAATGAAAAGACAAGCTTCTGTCTGAGAAGATTGTGGTCTTCCATACAACGAAAACGGGCTTGTATTTAGAATATATATTTTTTTAATGTTTAGGGGCACCTGGCTGGCTCAGTCAGTGGGGCATGCGACTCTTGGTCTCGGGGTTGTGAGTTTGAGCACCACAGCGGGTGGAGAGATTACTTAAAAATAAAATCTTAAAAAGATAAATATAAAAATAAATTTTAAACCTTACTAATCAATAAGAAAAAGACGGGGAAAAAAAGTCAGAAAATTAGCAGAGAAACTTGAATAGTTTCATCACAAACGACAATATGCAAATGGCACCATAAACAAATGAGAAGGTACTCAACCCACGGGGAATGTGTATTAAAACCTCAGAGAGATACCACTATATGCCCAAGAATGTCTACAAGTTTTTTAAAGATTTTTATGTATTTATTTGACAGACAGAGATCACAAGTAGGCAGAGAGGCAGGCAGAGAGAGAGAGGAGGAAGCAGGCTCCCCGCCGAGCAGAGAGCCCGATGTGGGGCTCGATCCCAGGACCCTGGGACCATGACCCGAGCCGAAGGCAGAGGCTTAAACCCACTGAGCCACCCAGGCGCCCCAATTTTTTAAACGGACAATGCCAAGTGGAAAAAGAGGAGAGTAATGAGACCACCCGTAACGCTGCCAGGCGGAATGTAAACTGAGCACAATTTGACATCATCTGCTAAAGACAGACATAGGATCACTCTTAGACTTAACAATTGCACGCCCAGGATCAGAAATGCATAACAGGAAAATGCATGGTCGAAAATGTTTCCTTTTTTTTTTTTAAGATTTTATTTATTTATTTGACAGACAGAGATCACAAGTAGGCAGAGAGGCAGGCAGAGGAAGCAGACTACACGCTGAGCAGAGAGCCCAATGCGGGGCTCGATCCCAGGACCCCGGGGGATCATGACCTGAGCCGAAGGCAGAGGCTTTAATCCACTGAGCCACCCAGGTGCCCCTCAAAAATGTTTCTAACTGTGATGCTTGTGATATCCAAAAATTGAAAAGAACCCAAATAGCCACCTAGAATAAAAAGGATTTTAAAAAGTGGTATATCCATTGACCGCAATGGCAGGTAGCACCAGAAAGAAACAGGGGACTCTTGAGTGCATTCATCCTGAATGAATCTCACAAACATAATACTGAACGAAAGAAGTCTAGCAAAATGCAGTGTCTAGAAGTACATTTACTCAGTGTAAAGGACGGGTGTGATGAGCACAAATTCAGGATAATAGTTACCTCTGAGGATTAGAGAAGAGATAAGTAACAGGAGTGGATGGGCTAGGGGAAGCGGGTGGGGAGGTCCTGGGGCCTGGCAGCATCCTACCTCCTGACAAGGGTGTTGATACCAGGTGTCCACTTCCGGAAAGTCACAAAGAGGTAGGCTGGATGTCTTTGGGCACTTGATGTATATTTCAAATTTTCTTAATAATTAAGATATAAGGATAGCAGGGGAAGGGAGTGGAAGGGACAGGTAGAAATGGGGCAAAAGTTGCTAAAAGGAGGGGTGAGGTGGGGGTGGGTATGGGGGGCTGTGTGTGCACACCTGTGAACGATTCTCTTCGGCATCAGTGGGGAGACTTATACTGGAAGATGGGGATAGGAGAGAATACAGAAGATCTGGTGTAATGCAGAAACAAGGGGGCAGAGGGTGGGGGAGGATTGGGTCTTCCTGACTATGAGTAAAATAATGGATCATTTGGCCAGAGAACCCATTAGCAAAAGAGCACAGGGCCTGGAAAAGCAGCGCAGGTGGCTTGCACCAATCAAAGAAGGCCTGGCCATCAGCCAGTGACTTCAAGGCTATAATTAGCAAATTGGCCCTTGTCTCCTTAAGACCAAAAGTAAGCCTCTAAAACCAAAAACAAAATCATTCTTTCCCGTGTTCCTAAAAACCTTAAAAAATATAAAGGTAAAATAAATATTTATTTTAGAGATAAACAATGAAAATTGAAAATCAAAGTAGGCCGAGTATTTTTCAGGGAGCAGGCCTGACCTGCTGCCCATCCCTGGCATCTGGCCCCAACTGGGCACTCCTTGTCACTTGGATGGTGGATTCCTCAAGCCCTGCCCCCTGTGGAGCCCCTTCTTCTCTCTCTGCAGTGGAGTCCCCACCATTTGCTGTAGGCCATGAACACGAAGGTGGTCCATCCCAACTTAAAATACCTCCTCCTAGACACCCTCCTCAGAGCCTGTCCTACCTGCCTGTCTGTCCTGTCATCAGCTATATGGTGGCCTGGGGGAAACTAGGACTGGGGAAGTCCCATGAGGTCCTGGGGAAGAAACAAGGCTAGGAGCCAGCCAGGGGTCAGTAGCTGGCACAGAAGTCTGAGCTGAGATGCACAGACTGGCTGAAGTTTGAACAGCAAAGGACCACGTCAGGATCCAGCAAAGTGATGTTAGGAGGTCGAGCAGGCAATAGGATTGGACGTCATATAGGGTCCAGGGACCAGGGACCCAAAGGGAGTTCAGAGCTTGAAGCATCGGTGTCAGGTGGTGTTAGGTTCTAGTGCTGGACCTGGCTAGCCAGCAGTATAAATTTGGGCTGGTTACTGACCTCTTTTGCCCTCCTATTTCTCTGGCAAAGTGGGAATTGCATAGACATAAGGATGGGGATAGGGATGGACATGGGTTTGGGGTTAGGGATGGAGATGGGGATGAGCATGGAGATGGGCTTGGGAAGCATGAAGGGATAGGGGTGGGCATAGAGTTGGAGACAGAGATAAGGATGAGCATGGAGGTGAGACTGGGAAGGGTAAAGGAACGGGAAGGGGCACAGAGTTGGAGATGCTTGGCCCTGGCAGGAATGAGATGAGGAAAAGAGCTTGCACGTGTACAAGAGCAAAATGTCAACCTCATTGGGCATTTGCTGCCTTTTCAAAGCTTGCTTTGTCCACTCCTTTGCAGGTCGGAACTCATTCCTGGCAGTGATAGCACCCTGCCATCTCCGAGCATGGTAACAAGTCCTGGGAGCAGAGCAGTGTGTGCGGACATCCGTCTCTCCTCCTGCCTCTGGTCCCATCCTCCTCAGCCTCTCCCATCCAGCCTCGCTCCCTGCCCTGCCTCCCCACCAGCTTTTTCCAAGTGTCCCTGTCCTCTGCTCCTCCCCTTCGGCGTTCAAACATCGCCACAAGTCCCCGCCTCTAGAAAATTCTTCTCTTGACCCCAAGTTTCCCTGACTTCTATTTTTCTCCTTTTCTCAGTCAAAATTCCCCAGGGAATGGCCCATACCAGCTGCTGCTCTTTCCTCACTCCCCAAGGTCCATCCTCACAGCTCCATGACAGCCACTGGTCAGGAAGGAGCTAGTGGGGTGACTCGTGAGTCACAGCGATCGGGGACTCCAAAAAGTGGGGGTCGGGCAGGCATTCACGAAGACACACACACGTGCGCACATGCAAGCACACACATACACACACAGAGACATACACACAGGCACACACATATATACACACAAATACACACATGCACACAGAGGCACACATATACAGACACACACAGGGACACAAACACACAAACACATGCTTACACACATACTGAGACACACAGACACACACACGCACTTACACACACACAAACCCCAACGTACAGTCATATAGGCACACAGAGACACACACACAGATGCACACACACACTGACAAACCGGTTCCAATATGGCACCCAAGTGGCTCTCAGTCTGACTAGAGGGATTGAGGAGGGAAGCCCAGGGCCAGTCGTGGCTCAGCCTGCGGACTCAAGAGAGCAAAGCAAAGCTGCTAGAATCCAGGGCACCTGGGTGGCTCAGTGGGTTAAAGCCTCTGCCTTCAGCTCAGGTCATGATCCCAGAGTCCTGGGATCGAGCCCCACATCGGGCTCTCTGCTCAGCAGGGAGGCTGCTTCCTCCTCTCTCTCTGCCTGCTTCTCTGCCTACTTGTGAGCTCTGTCTGTCAAATAAATAAATAAAATTTAAAAATATATATTAAAAAAAAAAAGAAAATCTAGTTTCTAAAAAAAAAAGAAAAGCTGCTAGAATCCTACATCCAGAGCAGACCAGGGCTTTGCAGGGCTGGAACACTGCACAGCCTGGGGAGGAAGCCACCGTGTGCCCTGCACGAGTCCCAGCTGCAAGCCCTTGGGAGCAGACCAGGGCTTATGCAGGGCTGGAACACTGTTCCAGTGGAACACAAGTTCCGTGTGCCCTGCACGAGTCCCAGCTGCAAGCCCTTGGAAGACATCCCTGAAATAATGTCCACTAAAGTGGAGGGAATAAGTGCTCCAAAGTCTGAATTTGAACCCAAGAACTCTGGCTTCCCGTAGTCTTGCCTCTCTGCAGCTCTCATACTGGCTCAGTGTAGTTCAAGCAGGTTCAAAACCCGAGCGGCCAACATAGAGTAGTCTCTGTGGCTGTGGCCACCAGAAATACCACCACAGGGCCCCCAAAGAGGCACCTGTTCTTGCTACCCCGTCTACACCGCAGTACCTGCATTGATCCTAAGGTTTACTGAGTGTTGTTTTTTAAGATTTATTTGAGTGAGAGAGTGAGAGAGCACATGAGAGGGGCAGAGAAAGAGGGAGAAGCAGGCTGCCCGCTGAGCAGGGAGCCTGATGTGGGGCTCGATCCCAGGACCCCGGGATCATAACCTGAGCTGAAGGTAGATGCTCAATGACTGAGCCACCCAGGTACCCCCTGAGTGTTATTTTTATTTAATGTTACCTTTTATACCCTGTTCTTATTTTTAAATAAGCCACTTGAATATTCATTATTTTTTTTTAAGAAGGCTGTTGATCTTTTTCCGTATAGGTTCCTATAGGTTCTTAACAGTGAAGGCATTTACCAGTCCTAGCTTAGTATTCTCTTGGTGCTGAGCTCTGTCCAGAGGCCAGACATCTCTGGGGATGTGACACGCGATCCCTTGCCGCCCACTGCCCAGGAGAAAACATGGGTGTATTGTGTGGTGTGTGTGTGTTTTGTTTTCCTGTTTAAGCAGAATTGTCACCCTGACGACGGAGTAGAATCACCTGACAGGTTTTTTTAAACGTACCCACGCAGGAGCCCTCAGCAAACAAAGTTAATCAGGATCTGGGTGGTGGAGTTTGGACATCAGTATGTGTGACAGAATCCCAGCGGGGTGTGAGACCAGAAGTGGCAGTCACTCAGGAAAAACACTGCCTGACATCCTCGGAATCCTCAAACAAACCGAAGGCTCCCGTGAAGGACCTGCCTTCCCGTTGGTAGCTGGGTGTGTGCCTTTTCCCTGTCACCCTGGACTGTCCCCATCAGAGACACCTGCTGCTCTACCCAGACGCCTACCTGAGAGGTCTCGGTGATTCCTCATGCTTCCTCCAGTTCCCTGGTGGTTCTCCTGCCTGGTGCTTATATTTTGTCTGCAAATAGTCTAGTCCTCGATCCCACCTCCCTGTTGATCTTCTCACTGCAGCCAGCCATCCTTTCTCTGCCACCCTCTCAGGTGGTCCTGACGTCAGGGTAAACGGGGGCATTGTGACATCAGCAGTCACCATGCTCCCCACCCATGAATCTTCTGTCTTGTTCTCTTCCTCCTCGGTGAGCCACACAGTCCTCAAACCCTGGTGCCTGAACAATCTTTCCTGTCCCCCTTAGTGAAATGCCTACTATGTGCCGGGCATGATCTCTCATTTGGGGTCTCTGATGGCCGGAGAGCCAATGAGACATGGATTTTCTTCATTTTAACACACACATATTCTGCACAATACCTGGCCAGGTACAGAGATGGATGAGACTGGTGGTCAAGTTCCTTGGTGCCAGAATCATCTAGAAAGCTTATGAAGACATGGATTATCCGTCCCAGCCTGGAGTTTCTGATTCAGTACCTGAAGGGTGGAGCCCAAGAATTTACCTTTCCAGCAAGCTCCTTACGACATTCCTCTGAAACAAAATGCTCTTTGGATGAACAGGAGAGAGAATTGCTGTCACCAGGAAGCTGTTTGGAATCAGCCCCCTCCCCTCCACTCCAGTGACCTGTCCATATTTGCAATGGGGTATGCAGTTTCTAACCCCACCTGTGACCCCAACTCTGAAATATCCTCCGAGATTCAAGGAGGACAGGCACAGAGCCGGCTGGGAAACATGGAGGTGTCATTGCATATATCAACTTGGGATGGAGCTCCAGAGCCAGGCTAGACTTGTCTGTTACAGAGCTATCTGGCCCTTCTGGTAATACCTCCAACATGTTTTCTCCCTGCCCATTACATAAGCCTACCCTTCCTGACTGCCCATGACCCAAACCCCACTCACACCCTTGTCACCTTGCTCTGTCCTGACATCAGGTCTTTGCGTCCAATTCCACCCCATAACTCCCACACCAGTGGGACCACGGCTCCAACCTCTCCTCAGACATCATGGAAGATACTCCAAATAAGGATGCAGAATCCCTGGCCTGGCTGTTTGGAGATGCTCTAGGGCATGCATGAGCAAGAAAGGAAATGAGGTCTAGGAACGTTTCATTCTCTCTCCTGGCAAATCTAGGGAAGACTTGGACATCATTGCATCCAAAGATCAAGGGCAGGGCTAGTTTAGAGTTGCGGGGCGATGGCAGGTGACCTACCATATCCCATGGTTTCACAAGAACCTCCAAAGATGAAACTTTTAAAGTCTTAGGCAGCTTGAAGGAGTTGTTTGAGGTACTTATAGGTCTAGTACTGCAGGTAACAGGAGCTGGGACCCAGCTGGGAGGCAGTCCCTGAACCAATCAGTTAAAGAACCAGAGTGATATTGAGAAGTGACATCAGTCCTGCCACCTGACAGCACACAGATGGTGCTTCAAGAGGCCATGATGCTAATCACATCCGTGTCTATGTTGTTCATGGCGAAACTCCAAGTCTTGGAAAGAAAATCTATAGCCTGAGTTATTTTCCTCCTACAGGGCTGGCCTGGCCTTTGTTGGCTTTAGGGAGGTGCATTTTTCCCTCCTCTGTGGGCAGCAAATTCCCCACGAGTCAGCACGATGTGCATCTGGGCTCACCCACTGGCTTCTATTGGCTGTGAGAGGGACAAGCCAAGCAAGTGTGCAATGTAAGCCCTGGTGCTCACCAGTCTGGAGATACTCATAGGCTGCCAAAGTCCCTCAGTGTACCTCGCCAGCCTGGTCACTGGCCCTCCTTGTCATCTCCCAACAGGCTGATGCTGAGTATGGTTCCTTCCCTTCATTCAGTGCAGAATGAGTTAAGGTACACAGGGGGCCCAAGAGCTAGCTCTCAGTCACCTGTGCATGCACCCTGTGCCAAGTACTGTTCTCAACTTTTCATGCATTAACTGATCCAGGGTTCAAAATCTTCAACATGGACCTAACACATAGGTTCTACTCTTTTAATCCCCATTTCACAAATGAAGAAACTGAGGCACGGAGAAGTCAAGTGAGCAGCCCATAGATACACAGTTCCTCAATAGAAGAATCAGATGTGCCAACTCCACAGTCTATGCCATTAAGAAGGGGAAATGGGGACACCCAGCGTGGCTCAGTCAGTTCAGCGTCTGACTCTCGGTTTTGTCTCAGGTCATGATCTCAGGGTTTTGAGATTGAGTCCCACACTGGACTGCATACTCAGTGCAGCGAGAACATGCCTGTCCTCAACTTGGGATTCTCTCCCTCTCCCTCTGCCCCTCCCCCTGCCCTCACTCATGCTCTCTTGCTCTCTCTTAAAAAAAAAAAAAATACAGAAGGGGAAACCAACTAGCTCTCTGCATCAGCTCAATGTAAGAACCCACTCAGAATCCATAGTGGGCTTGCTCAGACCCCCAGCTCCCACCTCTCCTACATGCTATTACATTCTCTTACTCTTTCCCCTCACTACTCCCCAAATCACTAACTAAGTGGACTCAGATGTATCTCTTTAGCCCACACACTTGGATTTTCTGTGAAACCTGAAAAGAAAATCTCGGGGAAAACAGTACTTTGGGTCAGAAGTTTATCAGTTCTCCCTGTGGGTCCCCAGCTTGCATCCAGAGTGTTAAACAGCAGCACACATCAACCTCTCCTAGTAAGGTCCCCTACAGCCCTGTTTCTCAAGTTGAATAAGCCAAAAGTGGACAAATCAAACCAGGCAATCCACTGCCTTGCCTCTGGCCTGTGACATGGCCTGGAACAATCTAGTTCTCTCAAGAACACAGATAGCATGTTAAGAAAGAACTGATACTTGGCAACGGTGCTGAAGCTTAAAGCATGTCCTGAATGGCATAATGGCCATGAGGGGTTGTGGAATCACAATTGCCTTTCAATCAGCTGATATCCCTTTTATTGCACAGGTTCCCCTTCCCTCTCTCCTATTGTGTCCTTATTTGCTAAAGAATGAGTTTCCTACAGTCTAGTGTATGCAGATGACATCTCCATGGTGTCCTTTAACTGGTTCCTCTGTCCCCTATGAGTTGGCCATAAGATCTAAAGCCTGGACTGGGTCCAGTTTCACTTTTCCATAGACAGTATGGTAAATAGAAGTGACATAATGCCAAGTTGTCTCTGTTTTTGTGATGTTAGCAGCTGCTAATGATTGCTGATAAGAAAAGTTATTTCATCAGGAGTTTCAAATTGATGATATCTTAATTTTACCATTCCTTCTCTGTTTTTTATGCAGACTAAACCTATAAGAAGACATTTCTCATCAACACTGCTTACACTGAGGCTCAGTACATGGGAAAAGTGGAACAAATAAGTCATGGATTTCTTTTCTCTTATTTATCAGTCTTCAAAATAATAAACAGGATATTTGCATGCTCCAAAAGTGACTGAAGTTTTTGGGTTTTGTGATGAACTTACACTTGAAGTGTTTCAATCCATTGCAGTCCTTATTCTTACAGATCCTCAAACTGTCCCTTTTCTAGCCAGCCAGAACCTTTTCAAGCTGGTTCCTGAGTCCTTTTGACATGAGCCTAGATGTGCTTGATAGCTCCCTTCCTGTTTTTATGACAGGCTGTTCTGGGTGCATCTAAAATGTAAGACAATTTCTATAAAGAGTCCTCTTCCTTTTGGTGCAGAAGGTTGTTGGATGCCACATGAAACTCACTCTCATAGCTATGTTTGGCCACATCTGAAGCCCTCCCCAGATGTTCTCCATAGGCCCTTCCTGCAGGACCCTGCCAGGAACAACCAAACATACACCATAACATTGTGTCTCAAGGCAGATTTCCAGAGATCCATGGTTGCACTACAAGCTACATTTATTTCACTTAAACACTTGTGGGTCCAGAATTCAAGATGGGCTCAGCTGAACAGTTCTCCAATCCACATGGCGTCAGCCAGGGCAGTGGAACTAGAAGGTCTATTTCCAAGATGACTTCTTTATAATTTGTCTGGCATCTTGATGCTCCCTAATCTCTCCCTTCCTTTCTCTCTCCCCATGGTGTCTCATTCTCCAGACTTGTCCACGTGGCTTGGGCTCCTCTCCAGCATGGTAGTCACAAGAGGCAGGAGATAGAAACCACAAGCCCAGTTAAGGACTTCCTTAGAACTAGCACAGCATCACCTCTACCCTGTTCTATTGGACAGAGGAATCACATCATTTTCCCAGATTCACAAGGGTGGTGCAATAGATCACACCTTCTGGAGCAATGACAAGGACAAACTGCAGAAGAGCATGTGATTGTCATGGCTATCTTCAGAAAATAAAGTCTCCCACAGTAACTACGCCTAGTCTCAGCCTCGGGAGTCCATTCCCAACAGCACTTTCCCTTGATTCGTTCATTCATCCACTCAACAAACAATTCCTGAATTGGGCTAGTAACTCTTGCTGAGGACTGAAGGCGGAATTTCTTAGAAAATGAGAAAGGTTTGGAAACAACTTCAATTTTTTTAAGTTGAATTTCTCATTAATTCCCAGCTTATTTTTATTTAATCTCATAAAAAGCAAACTTTGCCTGTCTTAGGCAAGCTCCAGTATCATCTCCTCTAGGAAGCCTTTCCTGATCTCCCTTTGGGCATATTGATAGCTCCCACAGCACCTTGTTCACACACTAGCTGTGCAATGATTATATCTGATTTCTAGTTGAATTCCCATCCACCCCCAAATAAAGACTGTATTTACCGACTAGATGGCCATGAGACTAAGTTCTGGCCCATGAAATGTAAGTGGAAGTGGTATGTGCAACTTTCAGGAAAGGTCCCTAAAGAAGGAGTGTACCTTTGTCCTTTCCTTTCGTCTTTCTTGCTGCCAGGAATACAGACATGATAGCTGGAGCTAGAGCAGCCATTTTGTATCATATGATGACTTTGGGAATGGAAGCCACTTACAGCAGAACAACGAGTTAAAGAGCTCAAGTTCTTGACACTGTGGAGGGCCCCTCCCACTCTGGACCCAGTACATCAAGGTTTTCGCATGAGACAGAAATGAACTTCTATAATGAACTTCTATGTGGCTTAAGCCACTGTTTAGGATTTCCTGCCACTCCCAGTTGAACTTAATCCTAGCTGATAAAACTCACATCAAGAGAGTGGGGTGGCAAAATGCAA